AGATCCAAAAAATTTTACCTCATGGTTTTATAATGACTTGATTTTTTACCTTTATTAAACCCTCCCTCCTTTTTTAAAAAAACATGGTCACAAAATATTTTCTCCTTAGAAGGAATAGTTCAAAAATCAAATATTTTGAAATACATTAAATAATCTGCTTGCATATTACAAGGTATTCAATAAGGAAGTTATTTAAATAAATTTTAATTGAAAAAAAGAAGCCATTTACCTTTTTAGAACTAGAAATGGAATTTACCAATAATACATGGTTTTATCTAATAATTCTTGATGATATACACTTGATGATATAGCTGTTTAGTTTGAGCTGGTTTCAAAAGAATGTGTGGAAGTAATGTAACACAAGCTCTGGTTGAAATTTTTAGTAGAAAAAAGTAAGTGTAGCTTTGCTAATAACAATTATTGATATGATTATGAAAATCATAATGTATTGGCTATCATTTCAGCATTTATCAAATAACTAGTTTTAGTCATTATTTTTCATTGGCAAGAGCCTTATTAGTTTATTGTATACCTTTATCATATAATTTACTCTCCTCCTTTTTTTAATGTGTCGTTGTGTGCTTTCTTCAGGAAAATGGAAAATTGCATTTCTGTGTAACTGAGAGATAACTTTAGATAAGATAAAGATTTCTTACAGTTTGTAACAGTTTCTCTCATTTTCTTGTGAAAAAGCAGAAATTAAATTGGAAATTTGCCATATATGTTTAGTTATGTGTCACATTTTGCAAATTCAATATATATCTTTCTAAGAAACTGTAATATCTGTTTATTCGCACAAAGGTTAAGAATGTGAGACCAGTGAGAAACAGTGTGCTTGAAAGTGTTTTTTGAGGTATTAAAAGGATGTAATATTATTTTTCATAATGTACTTGTAAATCTTGGTGTAAATTAAATCTGTAAAGAAGATAGAAGAAAGAAAGAAATCAGTTTTAGTTAAAGAAAGAGACATCAAGATAATAAAAATTATACAGTACAAAGTCTGAAATCAGGACATCCATTATCCGGAATGATCTAAAATCCAGACCTCAAACCACCAATAAAGTTCTTCTCATAGGCTTTATGCATGTGTGTTTGATTGCCCCTCCCCCTCTGCGCATAATAAAACATATGGAGAGTCCTGATTCTTAATTTCATTTCGACACTAAATAAAATACCTTATTATTGAAGAAACAATCATTTTAGCATAAATTTGTATAATCAGTAATTTGGCTCCGTTGCTGCATATCTACTTAGCACATATCTCAAACCGAAACGTTCCACATAGATATATCGTTGATCTGTTGCCAATCTGGCGAATCATTATTTATTGTACTTTCCTTTCATCACATGTTTATCAAAAAATGGAAAACTTGAGTAACAACAAACTCTCATAACCGCTCCTGAAAGCAATTGTGGTGTTTTGTAACGATTGCTTCCAGTAAGTGGGTTTGAATCCACGCATCTAAACCCTCCGTTATCTCACTCCGGATTAGGCAGGAGGAGACAGGTGCTAACTACCAAAGTGGGCAAAAGCCAATAGGCTAAAGCAAGGTAGAGCATGTCAGCTGAGCAAAAGGGCCTCAAGAAAGAAAGAAAAAAAAAAAAAAAAAAAAAGAAAAACCAAGCAGCTAAAAGAGGAGGGGGTGCCTTTCGGCTAAAAAAGGAAGAAACAAAAAGCTAAAACCTGGTAAAGGGAGAGCCATTACGGCTAAAAAGAAGGGGAACGGGCGAAATGAAGCTCTCGACTAAAAGGGGTTGAGAGGGAAGGCTAAACGGTGAAAGGGAAAGAGAAAGCTTTGTAAACTTAAAACAAAAAAGGGGGGAAGTCATGATGGCTAAAACAGGAAGTGAAGGGACGGCCAGTGAAGTTATAATGCTAGCGTAATTCAGAGAGGGGAAAAAAAAAAACTTTTTACATAAATGAACAATTAATTAAAGCAGACTGAAATTAAAATAAACATATATATAAACAAAATAATAATCTTAATCATAATAAATAATAATAATAACAAAAATAAATAATAATAATAAATAACAATACTAACAAAATAATAGAAAAATTCAAATAAACTTTGCTGCTGCAGGTGTAAGTAAACACTACAGTGACTAAATAATTGAGCATTACATTGAAGTGAATGGAAGGAAAAATAACAATCAGAGTGGCATAAGCATTGTAGGATTAACGATAAACAATAAAGACTTACATGTATAAGTTGCATAATTGACTTCACGGCATTAAGAGTAGAATTGCATTTTGCCAATGTTCCCAGTGAAGGCAATGGTGATGGAAAAAGAGATGTCCTTTCTTTTACTGTTATTGGACAAGACGTGATGTAATAGATAGCTCCTGCAAGCTCTCCACTTGTCCCACAGCCACATCTGTGTTTTTTTTTTTATGAAATCTTTGCATATATTGCAGAACTAACCATGATTTGTCAAGACTTGATTTAAAATGTGATCTGATTGTATACGAGAGAGAGAAATTTGTGGGAAAAGGCATAAGTCGAACATCCTGTAGAGTCCTTATTCCTTCTTTGCTGCCATGTTTTAAGCGATTCTTGCAGGATTTGATGTTTAGCCGAAATCTCTGAAAGTGGCACTTCAACATCTATCTGATCTTGTTGTGCTGCTCTTTTTGCTTCAGAATCTGATCTTTCATTCCCTGCGATTCCACTGTGAGCTTTAATCTAATTAAGCGCTAGAGAATGTGGATCTAAAAGAGTTTTTTATGATTTCCTTTAGGCTAAGAATGCTTCTTTTCGTAATTTTATCACTATTTAAACTTTAATGGGAACTACGACTATCTGTAAAATACAAATAGGAATGTTGTCAGTTATTGTGGAACCTATCCAGATGAGTGCTTTTTTTTTAAAGCAAGAATCTCTGCTTGGAACACCGAAACCGTATCATTTAATCTATAAATTTCTGAATGAACTTCGTGCCCATTGTTGTACATAACGAAAGCCACACCTACATGTTTACCAATCTTAGATCCATCTGTAAATATTTCAATATTTTCCTGTGTTGGAGTACTTTTATGCTAGGGAATTATGTCTTGATGAGCAAGGTGTGTGTGGAAGTGTGGGACTCTTTCTTCTAAGGTATTGTACCATATAACAAGATTGCTTATTTCCAAGTTTTCTTTATAATGAATTAGTCTAAAGAATTTTCTCTCTGTCTCAGCTTTTATGTCTAAAGGTATAAGGCCCGAGAGAACTTGCAGGGATGATGTGGGAGATGTTGAATAACACTTGGTAATACATAAAAGAACTGACCTTTGTATTTGTGAAAGTTTTTGCTTTTGATGTACGGTTCCCATGAACCACATGGGACACCCATAAAGTATTAATTGCTCGATAGCTCTGAGATAAAGTAGTTTAAGTAATTTTTCTTTCTTGCTCCAGTTTTGAGAAATGATCCGATTTAGTTTATTAATTAAATTTTGTGTTTTCTCCTTTAAGTGTACTATGTGTAGAATCCATGTGAGTTTCTGATCAAGAATAAAACCCAATGTTTAATGTAAAACTTCTTGAGATGGTAATGTTGTCCCACATAATACGTGGAGGTGATCTATGTAATTTAGTGCCTTTAGGAAACAAAATTAATTTGGTTTTATCAATGCTAAAATTAATTATTAAATTAATTATCAATACTAAAATTAAACTTGAGTAACATGTAGCAATGCCTAAACAATTTTTTATGCTAGTAACTGAATAATAAAGGAATACAGTAACCTTTCATGTTGACATTACGCTTGGAGATGATTACAGATTTAAGTTAAATGTTCTAAAAATTGTTGACGAGGAAAAATTTACCGAAAATTTCTTTCCATTGTGCTAAAAATAGATTTTGTTGATGATACTCATAGACCCAAAGATTACATTTAGGGCTATCTGAATTAAGAATAACTGCTTTGTTATTCACATAAACCCAGAACCAGCACCAGGGTTTAGTGCCAGTCCTCAATAAGGCTTAAGTATATGTGGGAATTTATTTATTCAGAACTCTGATAAGCATTAAGCATGTGCAAGAAATAAGCATAAGTATAATAAATAACTAGCATATATAATTCAGGCTTAATTGTCTCAGTGCGTGATAGAAGCAAGACAAAATTTAAGGGAACAACTTGTCATTAGTCGCCAAGCTCATGATGCATAGCCAAATATGTATAGTGAAGGATAGCTAAATTTGATGATGATAGCCATGAATTTTAAAGGTTTTCGGATACTGCAAAACTAAATGAAAGTAAAGGTGAAATTTTCCAAATAACGGATTTTGTAAAGAAATGTGGAAAAGCAGTAATAAGTGAAGATGATATAAAAGAAGTTTTTCATTGTGATTAGAAAGCTTCCACAGCTGCCGATAGTGAAGAAAGTGACAGAGAAGTTACTGAAAATGCGAAAATTTTGATTGACAAGTTAGTTGGAATTCTCGAAACAGCAGTTACAGGACTTCAACAATGTAACTAAACAAGAGATTATGTCTGTCTACAGAATTATTGAAAAAGTATTAGCATAAAAAATGAAGCCACCTAAACAACTTACGTTGAAATAAATGTTTAATAAGGTAAACAAATAAATATTAAGCTTTTTTTTTTTTTTTTTTTTTTTTTTTTTTTTTTGAAATTTTGATAACCTTTAGATCATAAATACTTCATTATTTCATAAATTACGATTTCATGTTTTTAATTTTATAATTTCTACATGCCATCTTACTAGATTTAAACTGATGATCTAATATCCGGAAAAATCCCAAATCCAGAATCTCCAAGTCTCGACGAGTTCGGATTTCAGACTTTGTACGGTATTACCATTCATCAATTGCTGCATTGAATATTCAACTCAGTTAATTGTTCACTGGTAATATTGTCATTATTATAAAATATTGTAGTAACAATATTCATTTGTAATGTATCACATATTTTCAGTTCTTAAATCTATAAATATGTTTTAAAAAGCAGAAGTATGGTTGGAAAAATCAATTTTAAACTTCTCTTACAGAGCATTTGATTGCCATCATGTTATCAAATTATTAGGTGTTGTGTCCAAAGGTCAGCCTACACTTGTAATAATGGAATTGATGACTAATGGGGATTTAAAGTCATACCTTCGCTCTCATCGTCCGGATTCAGAAGTAATTATATTATTTCTAAGCAAAATACGAGGGTTGGAACTTTAATAGTGACAACACAGCTGAAAAACGCTACGCAACAAAACCAAAGAATATCGCGTATACCACATGTGAACTACATACCTACCTTACCTCTCAGCAAAAAGACTCGTCCTGCCTACGTCACGCGTATGCGGAGTGACGCGAAGAACGGATCATTGTATTAGCTCGCGGTCTAAAGTAAGTGTTGTCAGGATGTTTTCAAAACAAGAACAACGATGTTGGAGAAAAATTGAATGTGCCTGAGGTCGTACAGCACGACAGTGTCATCAAGGGCTTCAAGAGGTTGCGGGGAATCTGCATTGCCTTACAGAACCGTAGCAAGATGGGTGAAAGCATTCAATGAAGGACGCCAAAACCTGGCAGACATGCTGCGGCCAGGTCGTCCGAGTGTCAGCGATGCAGACGTGCAAGCTGTTGCCGCACTAATGGACAGTGATCACCGCCAAACGATTCATCAGCTGGCCGGACAAACAGGATTAGCGCATACGACTGTGCTGCACATTCTGAAGGAACGCCTGTCCATGAGAAAAATTGCTTCACGATGGGTTCCACATCAATTGACGGAAATGCAGAAATGGCTACAATACGATGCTGCCCGAACCCACCTGGAGCGCTATGAGCGCGAAGGAGATGCTTTTTTACGCCGTATCATTACGCTGGATGAGACTTGGGCCCGATCGTACCAGCCAAAACTGAAATGCCAATCAAACGAATGGCGTCATCATGGGTCACCACGACGTTCGAAATTTCGTCAGAACCCCAGCAATGTGAAAGTTATGGTGATTCTCGTGTACGACTGTGATGGTGTCATCCTTACGCATACCGTCCCCCACAGCAGACTGTCACTGTGCAGTATTAATGTTCATTTTTGGAGCACAATCTCCGACCAGCTTTGAGAAAAAAACGGCGACACTTTCTGCAGAATGCTCCTCTCATTTTGCATGACAATGCTTGAGAATGAATGCCCATCGCTTGAGAAAATCAGGCTGTGACTGATTTTCTCAAGTGATGGGGCTGGGAAGTGCTTTACCATCCACCATACTCCCCAGATCTAAACCCTTGTGACTATGACTTAATTCCTAAGATGAAGGAACCACTTCGTGGCAGTCGCTTCCAAACTGTTCCTGAGATTCTTGCGGCAGTAGACCGGTCCATTCAAACTATCAACAAAACAGGCACTGCTACAGGTATTCTGCGATTTCCATATCGTTGGAAACGGGTTGTACACAATTCTGGCGACTATATTGAAGGACTGTAAAACATGGTGACATGAATCACTTTTGTATTCCTTGTAAATAAATAGTTGCCACTATTAAAGTTCCAACCGTCGTATGTTGGAAAAGTTTTGGAGAAATATATGCCTGTTTTCTTTGCAGTGTTTTTAAAGTAATTAAAATATTAGCTTCTTTTGTTATACCAAACAGATTTTATTCGGAATATTTATTATAAGTGAAAAAGATATGTATTTATTGAAATTATATCAATCAAGAATTGAAAGTTTAATGTTTTTACACATAGTAACAATTTTATTTGAAAATACATGTATAATTATTATGCATTTACATTTTTATTTTCATTTATGATTTCTTACAGTTCGTAAATATATTTTGTCGCCGCTCTTGTTTAGTTGTATTTAAATTTGTGTTCAATAATACTTTTAGTTTTTATGATCCATAATGTGTCTAAGTAAAGAAATTTTATTCTTTAGGAAAATCCAGGGCAGGTGCCACCAACTTTGATTCAAATTCTTCAGATGGCAGCTGAAATAGCTGATGGCATGGCATATCTTGTGTCAAGAAAATTTGTTCATAGAGACCTTGCAGCTCGTAACTGTATGGTGGCAGAGGACTTAACTGTGAAAATTGGTGACTTTGGCATGACAAGAGATGTGTATGAGACTGATTATTACCGGAAAGGTGATAAAGGGCTACTTCCTATTCGTTGGATGGCTCCAGAATCTCTAAAGGATGGTATATTTGATAGTCATACTGATGTGTGGTAAGGAGCTTGGAACTGAAGATTAATATTTTTTTTTTGATTGAATTACTTGATTTTCCGTCTGCAAGCCAAGCACAGAATAATTTCTTCATGTTTAGGAATCATGAATGTGGAAAATAATCAAATATGGTTTTGCTTATCACCAAATAAAATTAATGACAGATTTTTGTTTTCTTATAAAGTGTTTACAGCTCTTTCTACTGAGTAGCTCCAGGTTTTCACACATAAAAAATTTTAGTGAACAAAAAAAAAAATTTTTTTTTTTTTTTTTTTTTAGTGGTCCTACACATGCTTAGAAAAACCAGTCGTGGACGATTTGAACTGAGTAAACAGGAGCTCCGTCATCTTGGAAGATGGTATCACCAATGGAACACAAAATTTGTAAGATCAGCCAAAATGGTCACATAATCCTTGGCAGTAATGTGATCTTGCACAGTTATGGATAGGTGCCATAGAATGCACAAACCATGACCAAACCCCTGCCATGTTTCACACTCGGCAGTAAACAGTCTCTAGCATTCACTTGAGATGGTGTTCGCCAGAAATTAACTCACCTAGTGGAAAAAGTGTGAAGCAAGACTCATCCAACCAAATGGCAGCTTTCCATTACTCTCCAGTCCAAGTTTTATGACTTAAGTGCCACTTTTCCGTCTTGCAGGCATTTTGATCACTGATGAGTGCTTTTAAATTGCAGCTACCCCAAAACTGCCATGTTTGTGGAGCTCCCTTAGTATTGTTTTGGTGCTAATAGGTTTTGCGAGTGTGACATTCAGTTCAGCAGTCGTTTTTGTGTATATTGTCCTCTAATTTTTCATTACAGTTCTCTTCAGTGGTGATCTGTCATGATCACTCAGCATACATTTTCATTCACGCTGTGATTTAGTGGATGCAGTTTTTCTGGTTTTCCTGCATTAGTTAAAACTTTTAGATACTGTGCCTCTTGAAACACTGAATACTTAAAGCTACCTTGACAATGGAAACACCCAACATATAAACCCCAACAATTTGCCCATGTTTGGAATTCATTTAGCTCCAAGATGATGCACTCACAACTGCACAGAACAATGTCTGGATAATGAATGACACTTGTAACATATTGAGAATATTGTGTAGGTGGCATCAGTGAGCAGCGGCAGCAACAGCTTTTTCAAGAATAAGCATTTCATTCAAACATGCAGTTTATAAAATCTGTCCATATTTTTGGCCAATCCCAGTACGTTAAATTTTTTATATTTGAACATGCCAAAGGCCGAAATAAATTATTAAATTATATATTTAAAATTATAGAGGGGCATGCAGGTGCTTGATCCCCCAGGAATATATGTACAGATAATATACCAGTATTTTCAAGAAATATCCCATATAGTATGTTATTTTAATTTCAGTGTATAATTATTAAGAATTTTTTCGTATGATTTTTTATGCAAACCTATAAATATAAATTACAGTGAGAATGAACATTTGGAATTCTATGCAAATGAAATATTTGCTAACATTCGCTAGAAAGCAAACAAAATCAGATTAAGATGTTTAAAATTATCAGCAGTTTTGGCTGGTGAAGTTCAAAAGCAAGGGTAGTTTTAAAAATAAATCAGAATGCAAACTGAATATATTGTCCCATGTGTATCATTGCTTAAGACAATGTTAGTTGCCAATGCAACAATAAATCATACAGTCAAAAGTCTTTAATCCGGACTCGTCGGGACTTCGGTGCTTCCAGATTATTGGTTTTTCCGGATTATAAATCATCAGTTTAAATCTGGTAAGATGGCATGCTGAAGTTATGAAATAAAAATATGAAACTGTAATTTATGAAATAAAGAGCAATTATATTCTAAAAGTTATTAAAATTTACAAAAAAAGAAAAAAAAAGCATAATATTTATTTGCTTACTTTATTAAACATTTCTTTCATCATGCACATGTGTAAAGCATACATTACGCATAATCGAAATTAGAAAATGGCAACCAGAAAACTATTTCATGTGTATTCGTGATATTTATAATGACAAGGAATTTGATTTAAGTCATATCAGAGTACATCGAGATTAAATACTGCATTTAGTAAGGAATTATAAGCCAAATAAAATAAAAACATCTGCCCTGAAGATAAGAATACTGCTAACAGATCAACTTCCAGTTCATTGCGCACCATCCCCCACCCCCCCGGCAGAGCAGCATGAAATTGATAAACAGATTTCGGAATGGGTAGAGAAACAAAGCATATGCCTTTATCCATTTTTTGCAGCAATTCCACTTTTTGTTTGATGGACATCGAAACATGCTTTCGCTTTGTAGATCCTTTGGTAGCTCCAGAATCGGAAGTTCTTTTTGACATAATCTAAAGTTCAAGCTTACTTTTATAAAATTGCTCTAACAGCCTGCAAAAAATAATAAGCCGGATCCAAGTAGAAGATTAAGGAACAACGCAATCTGCAACATTAACTGAAATAGATAATTAGATAATTTTAGCTTAGTTTATACCATCCATTATACATTAAACGCACATGCTTAAACGTATTATGCACATGCGTAAATGCATTTTGCGTTTATGCATGCGCAGAAAGTTTGTAGCTTTGAGGTCCGGATTAAAGGCTTTTGACTGTATTTGGTTATATTTGGTGTTTTTTCTTGCGCATGAATATGCTTATACATAGATTTATGATAAAATTAAAAATGTCCCTAACATTCTGTTCAAAAAAGCTGAAATTTTAACTGTTGACATAATCATACCACTTTATGTTAGATAAATATCTGGTATAACTGCTAAATGTAAACACATCTCATAGGGGTTTTTTGTGTGTGACAGACACATATGGGCAATTTGCATTTTATATTTTTATGTGTATCAGTTTGATGAGGTAGTTCACATTTTCAGAAATAACTTCACCAAATAAAAAATATAATTCACTAATATTGAAAGAGCAAAGCTATACTCCTCTGAGCATAATTATGTTTTCAAACCTTTATATTGCATTCAAAACTACTGCATACTTTTTGCATGTTTTTTTTCTTTTAATTTTTCAAAATGTGCAACTGTTGTACCATAGTTATCATGTTTTTATTTGAATTAATGTTTTTAATGGAATTTTTTATTGCATTTTATTAATATTATTCATCTTCATGTGCTTGAATTTATTATCTCTTATATTAGGAAATTATTCAGACTGCAAAATATAAGAAAAAACTTTCATAAGTTTATCTTTCAGTGCTAAATTTCTTAAGGTATTGCATGAATATCAATTACATAGCATAGTAAAAATTGAGATTATGTATTGTCTTCAAATAAAAAATAAATGTAAAACAATGTTGGTAAAACTGTGACTTTAACAAATAAATAATTAACTAGATTTGTTTCCTATAGAATAATATTTACTTTAAGATATAATGATAATTTTTAATTTATTGTTAAAAATGCATGATGTTTGCTCTATCTTGAAGAGTAATGATTTATTTCTCTCCATATTTATTTGACAAAGATTTCGGCTGAAAAGGCTTTCTCTTTTCATGTTTATTTGACAAAATTTCAGTTATTGTTAATGGCTTTTTAAAGATTTTATTCCCTAAACATAATTTTAACTGCACGTTTTTTATGACATTAAAATTTTTGAAAATTGATGCTGTAACAATACAAGAGGAGTAACAATTGATCTCCAGTGTAGACCGTGGGGGAGGACCTGTGAAAGTGATCAAGAAAAACTCATTAAGGACACCTGCCTTGTCAGGTTTCCATTGGCTCATCTTGTTAGAGTAAAAAGGTGGCTATTGTCTGAGATGTGTGGGAGAGTAAGATGTGTCGTGCATTGGGAAAGCTGTTGTCTTTCTCCTTCTGTAATAATGCTTATTTTGATGAACCAAGACAGTTAGTTTAAGTTTTTAATAAATCTAAAAGGAGAAGAAGAAAATTATTAAAGAATTACTATTTCAAGAATTATTTAATGATTAATTTAAAAAGAAAATTAAGAAAGTTAAGTTTTTTAATAAATTTAAAAGACAACCTCTCTAAGTTATTTCCATTCTGGGAGTGTGACGACATTATAGTGCTGAAAGATTTGTGATTTTGTTTCTGAAAGTTAACTAAATGTGTTTAAAAAAACAGTTACTTACTGTTAAACAAAACACAACTGTTTAAACAGTTACTTAAAAAAAAATGTTACTTGTTACTTGTTGAAAACAATTTAGACAATTCTTATTTATTTAAATTTTCTTTAGGTCTTTTGGTATTGTTCTTTGGGAAATGGCAACAATGGCATCACAGCCATATCAAGGCTTATCTAATGAAGAAGTGCTAAAATTTGTTGTTGGTGGGAACATTATGGAAAAGCCAGAAGACTGCCCAGAAAAACTGTGAGAATTTTTTAATTATGTTTTGCTTAATTTGTCTTTTTCTTGCATATTTAAATCTTTAAAAAATCTACATAGAAAATATTTTTCTGCATGTAAAGAAGGGGTATCTGATTAACTGTACTAGTTTCAACAAATTATGGGACAGTCAGAAAACTTATAAGTTGCACAAAAGTATGATTTTCAGCTGATTTAATCATATGGTTTCTAAAATAATGTTCTATCAGTACTTGTATTTTATGTACTAAATGTAAACAAACAAAAAATCTAACTACTTCTGTTTTTCTGTTCTAATTATTATCGTCTTTTAAATTTTCATTAGTAGTGTTGCCTTGCATATTTTTTTTTTTTTTTTAAGATTGCTTTTTATTACTCCATTTTAATTTTCATATCATATTATTTGTATTTAATATTGCTATCCACTAGAAATCTAAAAAAAAGCTTATAATATTTTACTTTAATATGTGAAACTAGGTACTGCTGCAAATCGGTACGTTCAAATGCATGGAGACTGCATTTGGATAAATGCAAAATACATATTTGATAACACTTCACTTAAAATACTTATGTTCTGCGAAGAGAGCCATGAAACAGTTTGGGCTAAAATCCTCTTTTTATTTTTATTCATGCAAAAGGCAATAGTGTTGGAGAATTAAACTCTTTCTGCTCATTTCTCATTTTGCAAATACATATTTATAACAATATAGAGGGTGTTCACACATTTTTGTAACAATTTTGATTTTTAATAATGGAATTTAAATACAGTACAAAGACCAAAATCCGGACGTCCAATATCCGGAATGATCTAAAATCCGGAACTCAAAACCACCAACAAAGTTTTTCTCATAGGCTTTATGCATGCGCATTTGCTTCTGCCCTCTCCGTGCATAATGAAACATCTGGAGAGGCCTGATTCTTAATTTCACTTCGAAACTAAATAAAATACCTTGTTACTGAAGAAACAATCATTTTAGCATAAATTTGTACGATCAGTAATTTTGATCTGTTGCTGCGTATCTGCTTGGTACACATCTCGAACCGAAACATTCCACATAGATACATCGTTGATCTGACGAAAACATGCCAAATCATTAATTAATTATACTTTCCTTTCATCACCACATGTTTATCAAAACATGACAACTTACTTGAGTAACATGTAGCAATGCCTAAACAATTTTTTATGTTAATAATTGAATAATAAAGGAGTATGGTAACGTTTTATGTTGACATTACGCTTGGCAGTGATTACAGATTTAAGTTAAATGCGCTAAAAATGTTGACAAGGAAAAATTTACCAAAAATTTCTTTCCATATGCTTAAAATAGATTTTGTTGATGATACTCATAGACCTAAAAATTACATTTAGTGCTGTTTTAATTAAGAATAAGAATAGAGCTGTATCAGGCAGTAAGATATTTAGCGCCGGCCCTCAATAAGGCTTAAGTGTATGTAGGAATTTATTTATTCAGAAATCTGATAAGCCTTAAGCATGTGCAAAAAATAAACATAAGTATAATAAATAACTGAACTAATACAATTCAGGCTTAATTGTCTCAGTGCGCAATAGAAGCAAGACAAAATTTAACTGAACAACTTGTCGTTAGTCGCCAAGCTCATGATGCATAGCCAAATATGTATAGTGAAGGATAGCTAAATTTGAGATGATAGCCGCTAATTTTAAAGGTTTTCATATACCGCAAAACAAAAGTGAAATTTCCCAATTAACGGATTTTGCAAAGAAATGTGGAGAAACAGTAATAAATAAGATGATATAAAAGAAATTTTTATATCATGAATGGTGAAATCTGTACTGTGGTTCTAGATCCAGAAAACAGCGCTACCGTTAGTGAAGAAAGTGACAGAGAAGTTACTGAAAATGAGAAAATTTCGATTGACAAGTTAGTTCGAATTCTCGAAACAGCAGATACAGGACTTCATTATGTAACTAAACAAGAGATTACGTCTGTCTACAAAATTAAAGAGAAAGTATTAGCACAAAAAACAAAGCAACTTAAAACAACTTCATTGAAAGAAATGTTTAATAAGGTAAACAAATAAATATTAAGCTTTTTTTTTTTTTTTTTTTTTTTTTTTTTTTTTTTGTAAATTTTGATACCCTTTAGATCATAAACACCTCATTATTTAATAAATTGTGATTTCATATTTTTAATTTTATAATTTCTGCATGCCATTTTACTAGATTTAAACTGATGATCTATTATCGGGAAAAATCCTGAATCACCGAAGCCTCGACGAGTCCGTATTTCAGACTTTCTACTGTATTAACTTTAAAATACAGATGTGACTGGCATCAAATTGGAATAAGGTTTTATTATCATCTGCAGCATTAAAAATATTCTTTTTTTTTTTTTTTTTTTTTTTAATACACCTGAAAACAAGAAATGGATCAAAGGCTATATTTTTGCACTATTTGAAAAGAAATTCTCTTATTCAGTTATTAAAAAAAGATGTGAAAAGTATGCTTTTAATAATTCTATACATAAAATAAGTGGCATAATTAATATGAGAGGAAAGAAACATTAGAGTTTATATTTGACTGGGAAAAGGGGAAAAAATGCATAACCAACAAAGGTATGTACAGTTGTTATTAAATCTAAAGTTGCATCTCATGTTTTAAAGAAAAATACAGTCTCCCAAAGAGCTATTGAAAAATGGTTAAATATCTCTGTAGGAACTGTGAACAAAATAATAAAATCTGATTTAAAGCTAATCAAAATAAAAGAAATTTTTAAAAAATGAAGTTCGTTGCCTAACGCCAAAACATGTTTCTCAGCATAAAACTGTGTGCAGATTGCTGCGTGAAAATTATTTGGCATGTGAAAAAATGGAAATATAGTGTTACATTTCATGAGGCTTGGGTATACTAATCTGATTGGAATAGGAAAAATCGATTTACTACCAAAAAGGACTTAGTATGTTGGTTCAGAGAAAACAAGGAAAGTTTTCCTAAAGGTTTTTTGGTTGGTTATTCCTGGACTCTCTTATTATGTAAAACGTAAAATAAGGAAAGTAGAAAAAAATTCCAAAGCTAATTCGGATTACTATCAGAAATAAGTTTTAACCCCTATTTTTAAAGCAGAAATTCCATCTCAATCCAAACGATCTTCACTGTGTTAAGTTCCAACAGCATAAGGCTCTAAGCCATACCTCTAAATCTACCACTCTATTTTTTGAAAAAATGAAAAATGAAATTGGAATTGCAAACTCTTTAAATGCATGCCACCCAACTCTCCTTTGTTTCCTATGAATTACTGTGCATTTGGAAACAAGCTTTAAAACAAGCTTTTTATAAGCGGTGTCCCAAAACATTGGATGGACTCTGAAAGATTGTGAAGGAGGAGTTGAATAAAATCGACCTTGATGTTTTAAGAAAAGGACTTTTATCATGGAAATCAAGATGCAGTATGATAGTTCAACAAAAGGGCTATCAGATTGAACATATTAGAAAATAAAATTGTAAGGTTTGTTTATATATAAATCTATGTAAAATCGTTACAAAAATGTGAAGACCCGCTGTAGATCATTCATACAAGGAAAGAGAGTGGAAAATCATATTAATGTAGGCAGTTAAGTTAAATAAATAAGTAAATTGCTATTGTTTGATTTGCTTGTTTATGAATTTTTAGTTTATTTATTCAGTATATAAAAAATTACAGGCCATGTGGTAATAACAGTAGCCCCTATTTTGAAATTGGGAATTACAAAATTGAAACTGTTAGCAAATTTAAATATTTAGGATCAGAAGTTAATACTCTCAATGATTTAATGCCTGAGATCCATAGTACACAGATGCTAACCAATGCTTTTTCGGTCTAAAAAAATACTTGAAGTCTAACTTCACTAGCAGAAAAACGAAGATTTTAATTTACAAAAGCTTAATCAGACTCATTCTTTCATACTCTGCTGAGAACTGGGCAATGACAGAAAAAGCAAAAAGTATCATTTCTGTATTTGAAAGAAAAATTTTAAGAAGTATTTTTGGTGGCATAAAATGTAACAATATCTGGAGAAGAAGAACTAACTCTGAACTCTATATCTATAAATCCTTTAAAGAAATAGATATAGTAAAATACATAAGGATTCAGAGAATTAAATGGGCAGGACACTTGTGCAGAATGGATGAAAATCGAGTAACTAAAAAGATCTTCTCGGCTAGACCATTCAGCACCCGAAAAAGAGGGAGACCTAAACTTAGGTGGCTCAACTGTTTGGAAACAGACTTAAGAGTTTTTTAAATAACCAATTGGTTGTCCATGACCAGGAATAGCAGAGCTTTGAATTCAATTCTGAGGAAGGCAAGAGCCCATCCTGGTCTATCTGGCCATTGAAGAAGAAGAAAAAGATATAAAAAATTAATTACTAGATTTCACATATTTTTTACATTGATGCATTTATCCAGTTCTACTAGAGCTCCGGCAGACAAATTTCACATTTTTTCAAATTCAGATTGTGTTTTCTTATAACTGTTTCCCCCTTCTTTCATTTCTATGTGTACTTTGTGTTCTTCAGATTGGTTAATATGTGGTTCCCAGAGTCGTTTTATTTCTTAGAATGGCTGTTTTAAAAAGTAATTAAATCTGATAAAGACATGCACAGCAAAGGGAGGAGTATAGAAATGAAGGGAAGAAATGGATAAAGGAGGACATTAAATAGGAAGGTTGTCTGTAAAATCTGTGATTGAACTGAATATGTGAATATGCATTCATTTAGTTCTAAGTGTCTTTAAAATTAATTTTTCAGATTATATTGCATATTCCAATAAATCCTTCAAAATATATATTCGACAAGATAAAACATGACTATTATTACACTGGTAGGAAAAATAAAAAGAACAACACTATAGATAGATGCTTTATTTTAATTAAATGAAGTTGAAAGATAATTGGTTGGTAGCGTAAGGTCAACGTCATCATATAGTCCAATGGGATTCACATTTGTTATAAAGAAATATGAAATTTTTTTTACTTGTTCTTTCAGCA